AAGCAGAACAGCGGCCCGCCAACCAGAACGGTAAGACACGCCTCATAGAACGTTATACATCAGTCCTAGAACACAACCGATACATTGGTTGGGTGATAATATTGGCCCATATTGATAACTCGTGATATTATCAGTATCAGCAAAAATATTGCCAGTATTGTACATATAATAACTCACTTGGTTGTGGGATCCACATGTGCAATCTTTTAGACCAGCTGAATTAACTAGTGGGATCAGGTGAGCTCCAGCTTGTTTAGGGGGAAAACCTGCGGCCACACCGGCCCTCTGTGGATAAGATTGGACACCCCTGAATTAGAGAAAAAATAAAGATTAAACATATAAATATAAAACTATATCAGCCGATATTATCAGTTATTGGAATTTAAACCCAGTATCAGCCACAGTGTTCATATCAGTCAGGCCCAAATAAAAGACGCAAATATTAGTTTTATAAATATTAATTACATGCAGTTTAAATATTGTGAATAAAAAACGCCTCCGCTTTTTTCTGACGTTCCAGATTGAGGCAGGTGTTCCAGTGAAATGGTTTGATTAAAAAGAGTAAAAACAGAATAAACCCCCCAGGTGTTCATCTAAATGTTGGCATGAATTTTGTATTATTTGTTACTTATTCAGTATTTTTTTATCAAAGCTCATCGTTTTTGCTGCCTCTGCAGGTTTTTTCGAGCAGAAGATCGCAGAGTACCAGAAGAAGATGAGAGAGAAGACGAAGAAACACTAGGACTCCTTCATACACGCCTGTGGAATTGATCTCTAATCTTAAATGAAATGATTCAGATGGATGTTGAATGATAGTTCAGAGCTGTAGATAGTCGTTTTTAGATTATTTAAGTTATCTGTGAGTTTAATTTTAACTGTAAGGCGGGTTTTCTGTGTATATTGTGGTACTTTATATCAGATGAATCTGAACGTGTGTGTGATGCTGTGTGAGTGTAAGATGGACTGCAGACACATTTCATTCCAGCTTGAGGGCTGGTTAATATTGATCCTGATCAATGGATTAAAAACTGAGCCAGTGTTGAAACTCTTGAATAAAGACTTGCTTCTTTTTGATGTTCTGAGTTTTTCAGGTTTAATCAAATTACAATGCAAATGTGCGCTTTAATTAGTAAGACAGTAGAATATAACTAAATAATTAATGATTGTTAATGTTCATAGTAGATACTAAATTATTCAGGTCCTGAATAATTCATATTAGTTACTGAATAATTCATAGTAATTACTGAATAATTCATAGTAGGTACTAAATATACTTAGTAGATACTGAATAATTCATATTAGTTAATAAATAATTCATAGTAGATACTGAATAATTCATATTAGTTAGCAATCTGCAACCTCACCACTAGATGCCACTAAATCCTACACACTGCAGCTTTAATACTTTCTTCATCTTTATATTGTGTGTTTTTGTGGGTGTGCAGTGATTTACAGGTCAAAGCTGACGACAGATTTTCATTTTGTGCAAATTTAAAGGAGAATAAAATATTCCGGTTAGCAGAATCCGGCTTAGACGTAAACTAAAAACCATTAAAGCTGCACTGTGAGTTTTCCACCTCTCTGGTTTAACTGCACCCAAACATGTGGAAGAACATTCTGTAGCGTGAGTTCTGCCTCTTCCTCGAGTGGATGAATCTGCTGATTGTAGGAGAACTCAAAGAGAACTCAGTGTAAACGTGGTGAAGCAGCGTCTCTGAGGATGAGAGTGAATTATCTGCTATAGTCATCATAGCTTCATCAGTATGAAGTTGATTTTGGGATCATTTGAAGCCGAAACATCAAGTCGGACCTTCTTTTAGAGTCATAAAGACGTACGACGTGGTGCGAAAAACTCGACGCCTCTGACAGGCGACTCACTGCAGGACACAACCACCATATTTTAGAGTGTTTGACACTTATTTCTGTTTTAACTAAAACAACTTACATAGTGCAGCTTTAAGGTTCTTAAAGCCCAAGAAGTGTTTAATATGTTAACTAGCAGTCTTCACTGCAGAATAGAGGGTCTAATTTAGGGTCTAATTTAGAGCTAACTGGTGATTTATTATTGATGTATTGATAGAAATCTAAAGAAAATAAGCAGATTATAGATCCAGGGTCAGCTAAGTGTTGTTAAAGGCAGCTATAAGGCTTAATAAGAGCATTATAACAGCACTGTAATGTATCCTGATACTGAAGCGTCCCTAAAATACACAAACTCAGATTAGAGCCGCTTTCGGGTGGAAATGGCTGTTAAACCGTGTGAATTTGTGTTTACGCTGTGTGGAGATGAGTGTTTGCGGTGCGATTCAGGAAAAAGGATGTGGTTTAAAAAAGTAGAGAGAGCTGATGGAGCTTTTACTAAAGTTTCCATTTTATTATTCAAAACATTATTCTAAACTGAATTCACAATCATTATATCATAAATCATTAGTGACCAGGAGCCGCATCACAAAAACATCATCTCCATGACGACTTCAGTATGGACTGAATTCAGGACAGTATCTATTCCAGAATAACAGCTCCTACCTTCATAATCTCATCATGAACTCCAGATAAGAAAACAGCATCACACAAACATCCTAACTAGACTGAACCTCCTAAATCCTGTCCTAACTTTAGGATGAACCCCAACAGGGTCCTCACTTCTGTTTAAGGTCCGTTTCTATGGTTTTTAGGCAGCTGAGTCAGCAGCATAGTTCACTACCAGCATAATGAGCTCCATTTATCTCTACTGTAAAACGCTGCTTTCACTGTGAGATGATTTTCTTTTCTAACTCTGCGTTTTAAAGATCTCAGACGCTGCAGACTCGATCTCCACCGCCCCTCTGATCACCTTCGTGTGTTAATGTTGATGATGAAATATTACAGTGATGGTGGTGAATAATGAGGAGACGGAGCTGAACGTGTGTCTGTTTATTAGGAGGAGTAACGTTAGCGCGCTTGGCTAAAGTGTTTGGGAAATGGAGACTGAAACTGGGGAGCGGCGACGCTCTGATAAACATCAGGGGGCGCTCTCACAGTATTCAGCTTACAGTTTATCACTCTTTAGTTTAGGATAGGTTTTTAGTTGTAAGTTACATTTTAACATTATTTTGATGATGTGTTTACGTTTCAGCTGTGTGTGTATGATCGGTTGCTAAACAGACATGACAGGTGATTGTCGACTCTGATGGAGTTGCTTAAGATTTTCTAACTGAGATGCTGTATGAGATAAGATTCCTAAATTAAGATCAGATTTTCTTCTGTAATATGAATTAGTGAAATTCTTATCTTGGCCTGTCAGATATTCAGATAAAAAGATAGTATGTTTCTGTAATACGGCCCCTGATCATGAAACAACTATTACATAATAAAAAAACAGAGCAATGAGGAGCCAAACGGCTGTCAGTGCAAACTCATAAAGGATTTTCTAACCTTAAATCTGAAACCACAAAGAAAAGTTTCTGGTTTGTTAGAACTGAAATATTACATGTGCATTTGAGTTTATTATACAGCAGCAGCCAAAATGACTGAGCCCTCCTGACTGAACATGCTTCATAAATTCATTAAAATTCAGAAAGGCTTATGATTAAAGAGTCTGTTTTATGGAAAAACAAATTTTTAGCACTTTTTTGAACTAAAAGAGTTTGATGTACTGAGTAAACACTGTGAAAGTTTCTAAACATACTGTATTTGATTTTAGCCTTCAGCCGTCTAGCATTCATTCAGCCTACAGCAGTTTAGCCCCGCCCATTCAGCCCACAACAGTTTAGCTCCACCCATTCAGCCTACAGCCGTTTAGCTCCACCCATTCAGCCTACAGCAGTTTAGCTCCATCCATTCAGCCTACAGTAGTTTAGCTCCACCCATTCAGCCTACAGTCGTTTAGCTCCACCCATTCAGTCCACAGCAGTTTAGCTCCACCCATTCAGCTACAGCAGTTTAGCTCCATCCATTCAGCCCACAGTAGTTTAGCTCCACCCATTCAGCCTACAGTCGTTTAGCTCCACCCATTCAGTCCACAGTAGTTTAGCTCCACCCATTCAGCCTACAGTCGTTTAGCTCCACCCATTCAGTCCACAGCAGTTTAGCTCCACCCATTCAGTCTAAAGCAATTAAGCTCCACCCATTCAGCCTACAGTAGTTTAGCTCCACCCATTCAGTCTAAAGCAATTAAGCTCCACCCATTCAGCCTACAGCAGTTTAGCTCCACCCATTCAGTCTAAAGCAATTAAGCTCCACCCATTCAGCTACAGCAGTTTAGCCCCACCCATTCAGGTACAGTAGTTTAGCCCCACCCATTCAGGTACAGCAGTTTAGCTCCACCCATTCAGTCTAAAGCAATTAAGCTCCACCCATTCAGCTACAGCAGTTTAGCTCCACCCATTCAGCCTACAGCAGTTTAGCCCCGCCCATTCAGCCCACAACAGTTTAGCTCCACCCATTCAGCCTAAAGCAGTTTAGCTCCACCCATTTAGCCTACAACAGTTTAGCTCCACCCATTCAGCCCACAACAGTTTAGCTCCACCCATTCAGCCTACAGCAGTTTAGCCCCACCCATTCAGCCTACAGCAGTTTAGCTCCACCCATTCAGTCTAAAGCAATTAAGCTCCACCCATTCAGCTACAGCAGTTTAGCTCCACCCATTCAGCCTACAACAGTTTAGCTCCACCCATTCAGCCTACAGCAGTTTAGCCCCACCCATTCAGCCTACAGCAGTTTAGCTCCACCCATTCAGTCTAAAGCAATTAAGCTCCACCCATTCAGCCTACAGCAGTTTAGCTCCACCCATTCAGCCCACAACAGTTTAGCTCCACCCATTCAGCCTACAGCAATTTAGCTCCACCCATTCAGTCTAAAGCAATTAAGCTCCACCCATTCAGCCTACAGCAGTTTAGCTCCACCCATTCAGTCTAAAGCAATTAAGCTCCACCCATTCAGCTACAGCAGTTTAGCTCCACCCATTCAGTCTAAAGCAATTAAGCTCCACCCATTCAGGTACAGCAGTTTAGCTCCACCCATTCAGTCTAAAGCAATTAAGCTCCACCCATTCAGGTACAGCAGTTTAGCTCCACCATTCAGCCTACATCTGACATTGAAATTATAAAGCAATGTTTCAGACTGGACTGCTTTTTGAATGAGGCACAATATAGAACAGCCAATCAGAACAGAGCTCAATTACATATATTACTCTTAAAGGCACAGTGACACACAGCTCTAACTGTGAGAGACACAGCGAGGCTGGAAAAAGATCATGTGAAGATTCATTTAGAAACAAAGTGAAATGGACTTTTTAAATACTTGGCATCTGGTTTTAAAGTCGGGTATTACTTTTCTAAAATGTGTAAAACAGCAAAAAATAAAGAAAAAACCCTTGTGGAAAAAGTTAAATGTTAAAATAAAGGAAAAACCTTTCAGGAAAACAATAATATAAGTAAACACAGCTCCCTTCAGAGCCAGAGTGTCCAAACTTTTGACTGGTGCTGTATTATCACTTCCTGAGAGATGTTTTATCAGACAGCAGTGTTTCCTCGTCCTCACTGGTGAGTAAATGTCCAAAGCTGATTGCAGTTCTACATCCACGTCACTAGGGGCAGTGCGTGTGGTCAGATGTTCCCCGCCAGCAGTGGTGAGTGTTCTCCGTGGTGGACAGGCTCTCTGTCCTCGTACAGGGGGTAGCTGTACAGGTGATTACACTGCAGAATCGGCTGAACTCGCAGAGAAATTTTCTAAATAAAGGACGAGATGAAAGCAGGACAATAAACAAAGATCAAAGACCAACTCTTTAAAATGTAAACGAGTCTGAGTTCACTTCCTGTACTGGCTGATCGACTATATTCAGGGTGATGAGGGGAAACTGGGTGAAATTTGTTTTTTCACTTTAAAAATCCACACTTTGCAGAGGACGAGTTGAATCTTAGTGGTTTGATGGAAGCTTTATATTAGACCAGCGTTTGATGAGGCTGCGACTCTTCAGAAAAACTCACCTGGAAGTCTCGAATGAAGGTGAAGAAGAAACAGATGAAGGACAAGCCCAGAGACCACTCCGCCCCTGCACTCACCTGGTGAGCCAGGTAACCCTGAAACACACAAACAGCAGATTCACAACAGAACACAGGCTGACTGACAGACTGTCTCGTATAATATAGCGGTTTCCAATAAAGTGGCCAGTTAGTGGAAGCACAAAGTAGGTGTTTCCAATAAAGTGGCCAGTTAGTGGAAGCACAAAGTAGGTGTTTCCAATAAAGTGGCCAGTTAGTGGAACAACAAAGTAGGTGTTTCTAATAAAGTGGCCAGTTAATGGAAGCACAAGATAGGGGTTTCTAATAAAGTGGCCACATAGTGGAAGCACAAGGTAAAGGTTACTGCATCATATTAGACACAGCGCCCCCCCCACCCCTCCATCTCTCTGAATACTGATACTGGTATCAGCTCTTCTGAAAGCCAAATTTCTCTACCACTGACTCTGAGTGTGAAAAGTCAGGTTCTCACTTTCTCTCCAGGACTCCAGCGTAGCTTCGTGGCCACCTCCACTCCAGGCATCTCATCATACATCATCACAGACGACACGAACACTGAGAGGAACACAGTTAAAGACGAAGGTAAAATAGTGGAAAATCTGAAATAATAAGTTTTCTTTGGGGACTATTTTGCCTCACAGCGCCCTGCATGTATCCCTCCACCATGAATGGAGTTTAAGTTCTCTAAACTATCATAAAACAGTGTCTCAGTCATCAGGCAGTGAATTCATAACCATTTCATGTAGTAACTTTCTGTGAGGGAGCTTTTAGAGGGGGACGTCTGGTTCCTATCACCACCACTGTGAACAGTTCTGACTCGGTAAGTTTATCTAGAACAGAGCGTTTCACACCAAACCGCTCTGAACCACTTCCCCTTTAACACCCACAGTGTGCTAGTGTTTCAGCTGTAAGGATACAGATGATGATGCTGATGAGGCACCAAACCCCGATAGCTGTGCGCGCCCACAGGATGTCGGTGCCGTGGAAACGTGGCTGCATGCGGTACGACAGTCCCGTCTGCACCAGGATGTAAAGTGCTCCGGGGCCAAAGGTCATCCCCGCCCCAAACAGGTGCATGGACATCATATCTGTTTTCTATCACAGTGGGGAAAAAAAACAGTACACCTATTTAGAGGAGCTGTAACCTTTCTAATAAAGTGGCCAGTTAGTGGAAGCTCAAGGTGGGTGTTTCTAATAAAGTGGCCAGTTAGTGGAAGCACAAGGTGGGTGTTTCTAATAAAGTGGCCAGTTAATGGAAGCGCAAGGTGGGTGTTTCTAATAAAGTGGCCAGTTAATGGAAGCACAAGATGGGTGTTTCTAATAAAGTGGCCAGTTAATGGAAGCACAAGGTGGGTGTTTCTAATAAAGTGGCCAGTTAATGGAAGCACAAGGTGGGTGTTTCTAATAAAGTGGCCAGTTAATGGAAGCACAAGGTGGGTGTTTCTAATAAAGTGGCCAGTGAGTGAAAGCACAAAGTGTGTGTTTCTAATAAAGTGGCCAGTGAGTGGAAGCACAAGGTGGGTGTTTCTAATAAAGTGGCCAGTTAGTGGAAGCACAAGGTGGGTGTTTCTAATAAAGTGGCCAGTTAATGGAAGCACAAGATGGGTGTTTCTAATAAAGTGGCCAGTTAATGGAAGCACAAGGTGGGTGTTTCTAATAAAGTGGCCAGTGATTGAAAGCACAAAGTGTGTGTTTCTAATAAAGTGGCCAGTGAGTGGAAGCACAAGGTAGGTTTTTTCATAAAAAGCCAGAGATTAAAATTCATATAAAAGTCTTCTGACCTGAAAGTTGGCGACCACACAAATCCCCACAGAGCTGAACACTCCGAGCAGAAATCCCACATAGTTGAGTGTCTGCAGACTGAACTCAGACGCCGAGATCAGAGCCTGGACCTGCTTATAGCGCACGTACACCGTACACACACCTAAAAACACACACGTATTAAACTCCATTCATGGTGGAGGGATACATGCAGGGTGAGGCAAAATAGTCCCCAAAGAAAACTTATTATTTCAGATTTTCCACTATTTTCCATCATCAACATTCCATATAGACTCAGAAGACTCGTGTAGGTTCACTGGTGGTTCTGGATAGTAAATAAAATGTCTATATCTGTGTTGTAGTCATGGCGACCCCTGGTTCCTATCACCACCACTGTAAAGACATCTGAACCATTTCACACCAAACCACTCTGAATCTCTTTGTACAATTTGATGAAATTCCCTTTTAGGAGATGGAATTTTAAGATAACCACAAAATATGTTTCTTTACCAAAAACGTTAAACTGTCTAAAATTTACTCCTGATTGTCATTAAGGCTTATTTCAGTGTTGTGGGTCTGATATGAACTTCACATATTAAAGCTCTTCCAAGCGCTCAGTTCCAGTAAGACTCCAGTAAAGCGCAAATCTTTCAAAACAGTATAACTGAGTGTCTGACAGAGTCAGACTGAACTTGCTGGATTGATTTTACTGCCTGTATAAGCAGCTCCTCCAGTTACTTCAGTGTATTCACATGATTTTAAACATAATTCTGATACAAAATAATCTAATTTCATGATGCACTGAATCATTTTCTGAAAAGAGTAATAATCTAATCTGATCGTGAGGTCATTAGTGAGTGCAGTCACAGGTGATATCTGAGCATATCTGATACAGTGAGTAGTGGAGACTCAGGAGAAGAACAGACGTGTTACCGAGAAACGCTGAGATGCAGAGCATGAACCCGAACACACAGCGCTCTGGAACCTCAGTGCCCGTATCACTGTAACACAACACAACACAACACATTACAACATAGGAACACACAGCTTAGCACAGTAAAGCACAACACTGCACAATACAGCACAACACAACACAGCACAGCACAGCACAACACAGCACAGCACAGCACAGCACAGCACAGCACAATACATCACAGCACAGCACAGCACAGCACAGCAAAATATAACAACACAACACAGCGCAGCACAATACATCACAGCACAGCACAACACAGCACAACACAGCACAACACATCACAGCACAGCACAGCACAGCACAGCACACTACATCACAGCACAGCACAGCACATCACAGCACAGCACAGCACAGCACAACACAGCACAGCACAGCACAGCACAGCACAATACATCACAGCACAGCACAGCACAACACAGCAGCACAGCAACACAGCACAATACATGGTTACACTTTACTGTAGTGTTCATAAGGCTACATGACACCATAAACCTACGTAAACGGTTATAAAGGCTTACAGCTATAAACACTGTCAGTTATAAAGGCAGTTTTTGTCACGTTGTGTCGAACTGATGACAAGTTTGATTTGACTGAATTTACTAATAGTGGATTTCCCCTGCAGGTGGTCAGTCAGCACAACCAGAGTGACCAAACTGGTCAATGAGAATGATCAGTGTGACAAAGATGGTCAATCAGCATGATCAACATGACCAACATGACCAAACTGGTCCACCATGACTAGCAAGATCAGTCAGAGCCAGTTTAAGGCTCACTAGAAATTCCCTTATCCAGTTCTGGAAAGATGAGTACAGGATACATCCGAGTTCTACATGGATTCATTTGATAACTGATTTCATAATTCGGACACGCTGTGTCGCTGCAGCGTCCTGAACAGATTCATAAGACTGATTTAGCTCTCCAGTTATGCCTTAATTATAATGACACTGATATCAGCAGATTAACATCTCTATCAGACTGAGGCTGGAGAAACGTTCACACGGCTTCAGCTGCTTGAAACCTACATTAACTGTAGGTTCACTGGTGGTTTTGGACAGTAAATAAAATGTGTATATTCAGGGACGCGGGAGGGTGTTTTAAGTTGGGGGTGCGGAAATTTTAAGCAGTGTAACTTCAGAGCCTCTATCTCTACTCACACTTTCTCTCTTTAAACATCAACTTGCGTGTGTTTTAGCGATGCACCACAAAGTGGCCAGCAGGGGGCGAGAGAAGCGATTCAGCTCACTGTGATGAATACAGTGTTAACTTGAACAGTGCAGCTACAGCAGATTTAGAAAATACATCAATAGAAATATAAAAATATAAACTCCTCTCTACAACCAGCACGCATGAGTCTTACCTGCACTGCTAAAGTTCAGATCTCTGTATTATTATTATTGTTGTTTTGATCAGTTGCAGTCTTAAACTTAGGGGGCGCTGCAGCCTCCTCAGCACCCCCACTTCCCGTGTCCCTGTGTTGTAGTCATGGTGACCCCTGGTTCCTATCACCACCACTGTAAAGACATCTGAACCATTTGACACCAAACCGCTCTGAATCACTCTGTTTACACCTCACACACTGAATTATGGGGGAATTTTGGACAATCGGAACCCTGATAAAACTGAAGTGACTCTAATTGGCCTGCTGTGTGTCAATAATGCTTGTGTTACTCCAAAATGACACAAAACTATTATTTAATATTAATTATTATGATAACTCTATTTATATAGCACCTTTCAGACAAAAAAATGAAGCTCAAAGTGCTTTAATTAAAACATCAAAATCATGTATGTAAAACAACAATTAGTAAATAAACAACAACTGCCTGTTTAATAAAAATGGTAATCATAAATAAATAAATAGAAATATGAACACAAACGTTAAATATACATACAAAAAACTGAATAAATTATACTTAGAGTGAGAATGAAAAATAAAAGCTGTAGAGTTTAAAGTAAACACAGGAACAGAGAGGAGCTCTGCTAACGAAAAGAGGTGGTCAGCAGCCTCTCTGCTTAATGCTGACAGTAAACGGTCAGTCGGAGCTCCTACCTGATGTACGGCAGCAGCAGGTCAGTGTGGCCCAGCAGGACGGACATGGTGTAGGTCAGAACCAGCGTCCCACACGACCAGGAGATCAAAACCACAGGCAGGACAGACAGACCCCTCCGAAACCACCACAT